AAAGGCGCTAACTCCCAGGTTTCAGCTCACTAGACGAAACCCGGCCATATTTTCAAGCATAACGAGGCCAAACTCCCCGCAAGAGGTGACGGCCACGCAAGCCGCAAGCTGCTCGAGTTATCGTTCTCCGGCCCACAGTAAATCAACAAATGCAGCGACTTGCTGTTCCTATACTCCGTACTGAGACATTATCTGAGCAGAAAAGTCAGTCATGGGGCAAGGGTCGGGCCCAGCAACAACTCCGACGACAGTGATCATAATTGTCGTGCAATTATCGAGCCCGCGTCTAACACGGATGACGAAATTGCGGCAGTTAATGACATGAAAGCGGACTGTCAAGCGGTGGTTATGGAAGCTGATGACTATAATGTTCCTGTAAGAGTCCGAAAGCTCAGATACCTGGAACGCGAACTTTTTCATTCATTCAGAACAATAAATCAATTGATCTGGTGCTCGACACGCCTTCTTCCTTGTCCCTGTACATATCTGTGCATACATCATCCTATACTATGGTTACCTCTGATGAAGGGTTCTCGACAGAATCCGAAACGGCAGACAAATAAACTTTTTGTTCCAGCCATCGCCTCTTCTACTTCCGAACTGCTTCCTGGGACTCGCATATTAGCTCCTGTCGATAAAACGTAAATATCCGTTTCGCTCCTTCTATCAAGATGTATCGCGGAATGCCACCTCATTATGACCCAATTTGAGTTAAGTTTCGCCGATTTGACCTTTTACATTTAATCAGCATTTGTTCCTACTGCGTCACCCCGAGCGCAAAGTGCACGATCTACTGCACTATTTCGAATTTAAAAAATAACTGAAAAAGAAATTTCAGTACATTTGAACAGTTAAGTAAAAAATACCCCACAGATGATGACTATTTAGCGTGTACTTGAAGCCTTAAAGTACGCATGAACATGCATGCAAAAAAATGAGTACCGGAGCACGTGAAGACAAAGCATAGTTTTTTTTCGTCCTGTTTCAGGTAGAATGTGTGAATACTTTGGAATGGCGCGTTTTTAAATGTCAAACAATTTCCCCTTAGTATCTTTAGGCGGTCTTTCCTTCTATTATAAGTCTCCCCTCTGCACTGTTTCTGCTGTGCTTAATAAGAGTAAACATCTTTTCGTTTGATCTACCATGTGAGAATATCACTGACAGAAACGGGTGAAACATGCACAGGAAGTTGCAGTATTTATAGGATACAGTCAGCACTGTGCACTCATGCCAATTAACGACAATTGCCCTTTTTTGTTCGTTAGTTTTTATGCAAAACAGCATGTCGGCCGTGATCTGCTGAACTTGTGTCACGCATCCTGATTGCTCGGCTATTTTCCTTATTTGTCATAAGTATGCAGTACTGACTGTTTCCTTATAAATACTGCGACTTCCTGCGCATGTAATTCCCGTTTCCGCTACTGTTTTCTGCTGATGTCTCCGATGAAGAATCCGAGACGGATGTCGAAACGTCAGACGAGTAAAAGTTCTGTCCCAGTGATCATATTTTTTTTCTCCCCTCTCTGTATTTTATCCGTTGTGCTTGATCAGAGTGAACCTCTTTTCGTTTGAGCTACCTTTAACATAGAAATTGCTGTAGTATAGTCGCATGTAGAAAGCGGAGCTATTCTAGGCTGACATAGCAAGCCCACCCGCATACCTTGGTCGGACTGTGTGCAGGTGTTGCGTTCTGTAAAAGAACCGTTTGTTTCCTGCCTGTATTGTGGGCCGTCGTGTTTATGAGAGTCCTTGAAACCTGCCTCAAACACCTTGTTTTGGTATGTATTTTTCCGATAGCCAGAAAATGTGCCTTTGAAATTCATTTACAGTGATTTAAAGCTCTTGTTCGTAGTGAGTACTTTTGGAATCTGCAATTTTTGGGTATATCCTAAAGTGAGCCATTGTTGCAGAAGTAGGGACTCTTAAAACAAGCATCGATGATTCCTATATTATTGAGCACATAAAATAAGTTCTATACGCAATGTACAGCGGTTTGATCTTTTATTTTCCCAGCGAGACCGTTGCTTTTCGTATTCACCTAGAGAACACTCTCAATGGGTAGTTTTTAAACCTTGTTTATTTCTCTCCTCCCTCCCTCTTAATTTCTAGAAACATCCTGTCCATACCCTGGGTTGAGTTGGGTGGACGCTGCACCATAGACTGTCCCCGCACCGGCTACTCCGCAACGGTTGATTTCCGCACAAAGCCCTTCTACGGTGGCAAAAAGGACCAAATACGCGCGGAAGTGTTTGCACCAGGCGAGAAGAGACCCCTGCTCACTGTTGATGGCGAGTGGAACGGCAAGATGTGGGCTAAATGGGCCGAGGGAGTACGTTGTTCATTCAAACCTGAAACCATCTTTTTTTCCTTGCTGTCAGACCGTCTACTTCCCAACTGTGAAAGCGGAACTATCGTGCTTTTCAGTGTTTTTCTTCGTTTCCCACGCGAAAGTTCGTCTGCCGAAGTGACTGACCTCTACAGCCTGGAGGAGTTAACTGTGACTTGTGCTCAAGTTGTGCTATGTTGCAAGAAACGAACTGAACTCTCACTTCACTGCGTTATCCCATGATGATGATGGATGTTTGACCACCATATGCACCAACACGTTGGTACAGTGATGCTGATTGGCCACAAGAGTAAGCTTTAAGATGATAGCAGACGTAGTTAGTGCCAACCGCACTCTTCACCTTCACCATGGGGGAAGAAGGCCAAACGGGATCCGGCGTTGGTCGCTTTCTCCAATGCAAGCAAGTAACACCGCCCAACTTAGTCTTAAGTGGTCGAAGACTTTTGCGTTGGTACTACCGCACTACCTACCCTCACTCAATTTCGACTATCACCTTCGGTAGCTGACTGCCAACTCATCACCGCACCAATTTCGACCCCAAGCGGTGGTTATGGAAGCTGAAAATTATAGTGCTCATACCCTCTTGAGCTGTACAAGCAGCGTGACTCTGGGTTTAAGCTCTTCCGAGTACATACATGTTTGAGTCCCTGAGCACATTAGGGCTTGCTTTCGTTTCCACCCTCTCAATTTTATCAATCAGACTGTGTCCGTTTCTAATTGGTTCGGACTACGAGGACTAGGATACTGTCACTAAGAGGTGTACGCTAATGGACTTGCACTTTGTGCCCTTGTTCTTCTGTTCTTCCTTGGGCAGAGGTGTACTACTTACTAGCAGCAGTGTGTAGGCGCCAAGACCGAGTCAGACCTACATGGTGAGGTAGTAGCTTAAATCCAAACAGCCCTTAACCAAATGAGGTCAGAACGCCTGAAGATTAACTTGGACGCAGTGGCTGAACCGGTATACTTCCACCTTCCATGCCAGTCATGTTGCACGCATACAGTCTGTTTAGCCTCGACAGTCGCTGCGCCCAATGCCG